TCTAAACGATTCGAGGAATCTGTGTTTGGGAGGAGGGGTGGAAAGGGGAGAAACAAGAAGCAAATATGAGTCTTTAACCAAAGAAGGGGCAGCTAGTTCATCGGACTATGGCAGAAAAATCATCTTATAATAGAGCATTGGAAAGGTTCACGCTGCAAATATTCAGAGTTCATATTCCAGGGTCCCGAGCCCCAGTCCTAGGAAGTCATGTAGGGTCCATGGTCTGAAACGTAAAAGGTAGGTAGGTGTTGAAAAGAAACAAAAAAAAGGAAAAAAACTTTTAAAAAGAGGATCTGAAGACCGCACAGAGATCCAACCCGTCGATCCGGTAGGGCCAGACGAGCGAGATCCCAGATTTCTTACATGTTTCCGCAGTAGTAATTCTTATAGTGTAGAGAAGGGTATGGCGGGTGAGAGGGAGGGTACTAAACATAAGTTCAAAAACAGAGTATAAAAAGAAACTCACATGTTTCATCAGGCAAAGAATGTGCGCTTGCAAGTTCAAGAATAAAAGAGTCAAGAGTTGAGAACGGTGATGCCGTCATTTGATGTGGTGCACTTGTTCCAGAGTACGAACTAAAGACACCTTGAATGAAATTGGTCTTTGTTGTGATATGATCACAGGAAACGATTCCATCCAAACCAGTTTCCTCCTAGTGAATGAAAAATACTCATATATTAGTATACCAGCTCAAATCTAGACTGAGGAAAGAGCACAACATGATGGCATGACAAGTTCATGATATATATTCACAAAAGGTTATTGTTAATTACAGGTTAAATCATGGTGCATTTTTTTAGATGCAGAATTTTTTAATTTTTTTTTACATATGCGTTCAACATAATTTTTATTGCATGAACCATAACAAAACTTTCATAAATGAGAATTTTCAAAACATAAAATGACCGCTTCTAAGAAACGAAAAGGAGTATACAACACATGAAGAGCCAATGCAGCTCCGCCTGCATAGAAAAAGGAGTATCGATTGTATTGGTGATTATGCAACCAAGCCAAGAGGGAGTACTACTGAGCTAGCGTAAAAGCAAGAGGAGACAAATAGACCCAGATGCCATACAACATTACGCAACTGATTGCATGTGAAGAGGTATGACATAACTGTATGCAGACTATTATGTATGTAGTAGGAAAACAAAGATGGACAACGTATGAATGGGCGTCATGTGTGCCTGATTTACATTTTTTTTTATTTATTTTTTGTCATTTTTGCTATGTACAACTCCACAAAAAAAACATGACTGTGTTCGACTGTCTCCTTAATGATGTCGCACGTGTACCTTCACAGTCACATAAGGGAAGGCAGAAAGTTGAACTTGTTTGCAGTGAAAGTTCTCTTTCTCTCTCTCTCTCTCTCTCTCTCTCTCTCTCTCTCTCTCTCTCTCTCTCTCTCTCTGCCACGGTTGGCCCCCTCAGCTTCTATTTATGTGTCATGTTAATCAGCACCCCTCTCTGTGTTGGTCTGTTAGTCTGTCTTTTCGTCATGTATCTGCCGCATCAGTCGCAACAATCACACACAACTGTACAAAGCATAAGGCCCTCAGCCTTGAAAATATGGGTTCCGAGCCTATTGGAAACCGCTCCTGAGTTGGATGTGCCCGCCTTAAGTGCAGGCAGACCTGCATTTGTTTTTGGGGCCCTACGGTCAAATCTGAGAATGAGGGGGCGCCACGGTAGTTGCAACTGTATCACGGGACTGAAAATTTCATGGAGGCCGAAGTCTCCGAGCCATTCGTATAGCCACTTCAGGAATCAGCCTCCAACTACTTGGGACCCAGGACAGGGCCGGTTAACGGAGACCCTCGCCCGTGCAGAATCAGCACAACAGAGTGTTGGGTAAGGGCAACTTCATTTGCTAGCCAGGGAGCTAGATGCGCCAACACTGCTGTTTAGTAGAGTGGGCTAACGTGCTGCTGTCTGGTATAACGCATGAGTGTTCGGGAGAGAAGGCAACCATAGCAGGCTGAGAGGGGCAATGCACCATAGTCGGGCGGCATGCCTCATAGCTAAGGTTGATAAGTGATCCTTGGATACGGAACATGCAATGTGGGTGTTGAGGGATGTGCAGGGCAAGAGAAAGCTTACCTGGTGATGGTGAACAGACCACTATAGTTGGATCTTTTTCGTCATCTGGTTGTTGATGCTCGCGATGACTGGTTATCGTCGGTAGGGAACCTAGATGATAGGTGGCAGTTTGTCAGTAGTCTGGGCACTGACCGCAAATAGAGGGGAACTTGGATGACATTCGCGAGAGAGGGCTTTCATGGTCATTTCACATGATTGTTGTACTCATACTTGGTGCATTTCCCGTGCATTTCTGCTTTCAGTTTGTGCTTTTAACTATCTGGACTCTATGGGATGATGCAATCTGGTTTTTGTCAATCACTTTGCTTATATTCCTTGCAACCGACTCCGTTTGTTTTTACTCCTCTTGGTCCATTTTGTCATTTTCACTATACACAATACCAAAAAACACTACTGTGCAAGCTGATACATCGGAGATTCACTGACACATGAGTATTAAGGACTCATCACAGTCATCCTGAACAACCTACCCACAATGCATATGACTAATGGATAAGGAGTATTAAGGATTTCACAGTGCTTTGAGGTAGCAATACCCCACCAAAAGGTGGTAGACTTTATTTTCAGTTCAACCCTGCCCGTATTCACATATGGGTATGGCACATCAGACACACGCAAAAGGAGAAACGATACTGTCCGCATTTCACTGTGTGTTTTTGTGTTTATGTCTGTTTGTCTCTGTGTTGTCATGTCCGCTATACACAACTCCACAAAAAAAAGCGTGACTGCGGCAAACCGTTTCTTCTTACATTCACCGATTCATCAGGAGGTTGTCTCAGCGTGTGTGTATGTGAATGGACATTTATAAGATGGTCAGGTTAATGAGAATTGCCTCTTTTCCTATTTGCCCATATCATTCAGCGGTTTACAAGCGAATCCTTGCAACCCTTCCCCTATAAAAGTAGGTTTCCCAAATTTATACTAAGCCAGATACGAAACTTAGATAAATTTGACTTCATGAAGTCATAGTTGTTTTAAAATTTTATATTTAGCTTTGTATAAATTTGAGAAAAACATCTATTAAGAGGGAGTGTTATCAAAATTTCTACAAATCTAAAAGAGTTAGTTAAATTTTTTATGGCGGAATTCAAGTTTTATCTTAAGTTCATATCTGACTTTGTGTAAATTTGAGAAACCTAGTTGTCTAAAGGAGATGCTTCCCAAATTTTTACTAAATCCATGAGGCGGATAAAATTTGACTCTGTAAAATCAAAGATTATTTTCAGATTTCGTATTCAGTCTTATATAAATTATGCAAAGACACTTCTCATACAGGAAGCGCTGCCAAAATTTCATGAAATATAGAGGAGTTAAAAGGAGGGTTGGGAACGCTGGTTCCCCTCTCAGACTGCTTATCGAGTCAGTGGTCGGGATCGATACAAAAAAACAAGGGGAATAGTCTCGCATAACTCTCAACCCGTCAATTTCTCAATTTTCACTCCCTTGCTCCGTCACCGTTTGTTGGCTCCGATCCCCATACTTGTTGTTTGAAAATTTGAAGTTGTAACCAATATAGTTAGGCTGAAGTTCGAATTTGGAAGGTACGAAATTCCATATAAATGATATTTGCGTCAGACCTAGGCATGCGAAATCGCACCAAAACGCATCTTGGCTCAATGATGGATCCCTCAACCGTCGAACTCCCACACCGCATTTTAAAAGGTTCAGGGCTATGCTTCCGCTGTCGACATATTGCCCATCACGCTAAGGGTATGTCGTCGCTGGCCTTTAATGTCGTCTGCATCTAAACCGCAAAAGGTTGCATTTTAGCCGTCTGGTATGCCGCATGCGTTGGCGATCAAAGCGAGAAATTCAACTTTATTCCGCACGTACGAGGTCCACCGCTCGCACTAAAGTTATACTTGACAAGTCTCGACACGTCTCTTATTCACACGTCGATCCTTTCCTGATCCAATCTGGCCAATCCCACGCCAAAACCGCACCTCAGCTATACAGAACGCTGCCAACTACAAATGAGGTGGCACCGGGTGTGACCTGCAAAAAGTACGCCAAATAGGTACGACACCGCCGCCACCCTACCTCCACGCTCCCCCTCCGCCCTCCCCTCAGCCCTACTGTCGCAGTCCCCCTCCACCCTACCTTCGCGTTCCCCCTGCACCCTATACCTCCACGCTCCCCCTTGGCCTTGCCTATGCGCTCGCCCTTTCTCCTCCCCCTTTCTCCACCCTACCTTCCCCCCCCGAATACAACGTACGGTCATTATAGCTGTACCTAGACTGAAAGATGCCTCAAATACAGCTATAATGACCGTACGTTGTATTCGGGGGAAGAAGGTAGCTCAGCGCACACTCCGGTCCTCCGCTCTTCTTCCGACAGTCCACCCAGGACCACACCGGTACCCAAAGTCGCCCGTGTGACGAGACACGGGTTACACAAAGTCTCAAATTCGCGGTACCAAATGCCGCAAAAGTTTGAGACTGTAGGCCCTCGTGTGAGTATGCCCTCAGTTTTTCTAAGGACTAGTCCTAAAATTTTCAGGACTGCTGAGTGTCTAACGTGGCCCCTAGTCCAGTTTTTTTGTAGGACTTAGGAGTGTCTGACGAGAACCTTTCGACCGTGACTGGAGTTTCACGCAAAGACGTTCTTCCTGGTGAAGCGGGGCCTCGCCGTGTTTCGCGAAAAATATCGCTCGCAATTACAGCTTTCGCACCCACGCGCCATGTGCCGCGCCCGAGGCTTGCCTCTTCTTGGCTGCTCCACAGCGTCGGGCGCGGTATATCAGTTACCGGGGGTGTTTTTTCTGCGTGTGTGAACGACCCTTGTGTGAGTCCGTGTTAGTACCCAGTAGGCGATGTTGGTGGTGTCTGTGGAGGGGTTGCAGAATCAATGGGTGCTGGCGGGCGCGAGCCTTCAGCTAGGCTATTGCCATGCGTGGCGTGTGATGATGAGGATTTGATCGTGCACATCGGCGCTATTGTTGTGTTGAACTCGTTGCGCAGGGTAGCCGGTCTTGTCCATGTGGAGTGTGCACATCAGGGCAGGGTCGTACGCGAACGGGCGTTTTGAAGTAGAATATCCATTTTGGGCAGAAGCGTTTGTTTCGCTGCTGCACTCCACAGGCAATGCGTTTTAGGCCATACCCATGCGAGATCGATACTGACGGAACGTGGCCATGAATGCCGCCGGATGCATTCATGGTTATCCTGGTGCGAGAATGCCCCTCCCTTCTCGTTGCGTCGTCCGCCTCATGTAGGTTCCTCCCTCTCGGTTATGTCTCGATCGTGTACGTAAGAGGCATCGAGTAGGAAGAGGGGAAAGATGCCCGGGGGGAGGTCCCGCGCTTGCTCTCGTCGGCTTTTGGAACCCTAACTCGGTGGTCGCCTTCTCGTCACTATCTCGCTTCCGTCTCTCTGCTCCGGGTGTTCTCTCTCTCTCTGTCTGTCTGTCTCTCTCTCTCTCTCCCCTTCCTTGCCCTTCCTCTTCCCTCCTGTTTCTCTCGTTCGAGATGATTGGTTATCTCTGCGTGCTCTCTGTTGAAAGACATCTGCTTGATACTTCCATGGACTCATCATGGACACGGCAATGACCCGCGTCTCTGGACGTCGGTGTCGCTTTCCTGTCCTTGTTTACGCATGTTGGCGGTATGCTTCTCATTATTCTCAGAAGGAAGATAAGGTTCAGCTCTTGCAAAGAGTCGGCAGCATAGCAGAGCCGTTTGTTTTGCTGCGGCGAAGGCCGCACGGTCTTTTCCCCCGTGATTGAATCGGATGGATTGACACTCATCGGGCTACCCTTGTTATTATCATCAACAGGCTACCCTTGTTAAGGACCAGTTACAGTGGAAAGGAGGCGGGAGAGGGACGGCGAGGGAGAGAGGGGTTGCGTTTCATCGACAACGGCGACGGCAGTGGGCGTCTTATGTCCCCCTTGTTGGAACGTACTGATCGTCATTAATCTCTCAGCAGCAGCGAAATGCAAAGTAGATGCTTGATTGTGGATTGGACTCGATCATGTACAACTATCCCTTTCGCCAAGACGGCAACATTAAGGAGGTGGGGGATGCTTTTCCTTCCCTTCTCTCCTTTCTCTCCTCTTTTCTTCTGTCTTTGCTTCTCTATTCTCCCCCTTCCTTGTCATCTGCCTTACGTTGCTATTTTACTTCTGTTCATCTCTCTGCTTGTATTCTCTCTTTTCTTGAATTCTCAATTCCGTGTGGGTCTGACGCTGTGTATGGTGATGAGCGCGATCCATCGCTCCTGCTCTGGACTTCTCATTCTCCCCCCTTCTCTACACTCTCGGTCTCTCTATTGTCCACATGCGCTGTTTTCCGTGCCATGCATCGCGCTTCGCTCTCTCCACCCCGTTGCATGTTCGCCCACCCACCGCTCTTTTGCCTCTCCAGACATTGTGTTCGCGTTCCTTCGTTGCTAAACTAGTTAATACTTGTCCATGCTGTGTCTTTCTGCGTGTGCGCACTCATCCCTCCCTCCCTCCCTCCCTCCCTCTCCCTCCCTCCCTCCTCTACATTTCTCCCACTCCCCCTCTCTCCCTCCCTCTCCCTCTCGTTTCCTCTCCCGCTTAGTTTCCCTTTCCCTCTCCTCTCTCCCTCTCCCTCTCCCTCTCTCCTCTCCCTGTCTCCGCCCTCTCTTTCGCTCCCTCTCCCTCTCCCTCTCTCTCCCTCTGCCACCCTCTTTCTCATCATCTGTTTGGCCTTCGCTCACTGCATCTTGTTAATGACGCAAGTCAGACTCGAGAGATATGCTCTTACGGCAGGGGATTGTCAGCCTCTCTGCTGACCCACGTCTTGTCCTGCGGGCGGGCTAGTGGGCAGGACGAAGATTAGCCAGTCAATAATGGCGTGGAGTGAATTTCGTCATCTGACGTGTTCAGATTCTTTATTGACGTTCTTCTATCTCTGCCTGCAGGTTCCCTGCGCTTGCGCGTCTTCTCTCACCTCTGCCCTCGCTTTCTCCCTTCTGTTCTCGTCCCTGCAGTTCCCTCCCGCGGTTCCTCCCCGCGGTTCCTCTCCGTGTTTCTTCCCCGCGGTTCTTCCCCGTGATTCCTCCTCGCTGTTTTCCCGCGACCACTCCTCGCGGCTCCTCAATGTGTTTTCTCGCTCTACCCTGTGCCCTTCGTGTCTTCTCATCCCTTTGCGCACCCTCCTCTATTCTTCCTCTACCCCTCCTCTCTCTCCATTTTGGTTGCCGACCCCCCACTCCCCGAGTTCCCTTCCCCTCCCCGCGCCGCTCGCACTCCGCGCCTCGCTCTCGCTCCCTGCCTCACTTTTACACCGTGCCTTACTCTCATTCCTCGCCCAGCTTTCCCTTCCCACCCCGCTCGACCTCCCCGCCCCGCTCCGGCTGTTTTCCCTTCTTACTCACTGTGTCGCTCTCCCTCATTGCTCCTTACTCACTGCCACGCTATTTCCTACGTCGCTCTCTTTCCCCGTTCTTCGTCCTCTGTCCCTCTCTCTTCTTTCACGTCCCGCTCTGCTTCCCTTTTCCTGGCGCTCTCCACCCTTGCGGCACTGCCTCCACGCTGTCTTATCCTGCGTGCCTTTCCCCGCCCAGCTGCCCTGCCTCTGTGGCTGGCCTCTATTTCTCGGCGCTACCCCGCGGTACTCCGGCGCCCATCTCCATTGTCGCTCCCCTGTGGCTCCCCCACCCTTCCCTCTCTTTCATCTCTTCCTTGTCCTCACCCTTCGTCTTCCCTCTCCGCCTTCCCTCTCCGCCTCCCCTCTCCGCCTCCCCTATCCGCTTCTCCTCTCCGCCTCCCCTCTCCGCCTCCCCTCTCCGCTTCTCCTCTCCGCCTCCCCTCTCCGCTTCTCCTCTCCGCCTCCCCTCTCCGCTTCTCCTCTCCGCTTCTCCTCTCCGCCTCCCCTCTCCGCCTTCATGCTCGCCCTCGCGGCTGTCCGACCCCAGGTCCCTTCCTGGTGTGCGTCCGCGCTGTCTCTGTGCTGTGCTGCGGTGTCTCCTTATCACTCTTCGCTATATCTCCCCGCTCCCCCTTTTCTTCCTGCCGTGCCTCGCTATTCTTGATGACGTTTGATTCCCGGTTTCCATCCCCGCTGTCTATTGTTGTTCTCCCTGGCGGCAAATTTTCACCTCTCGCATAGCCTCATCGATACCTGCATCTTTCCTTTTACCCTCTCCACTCTTCTTCTCCCTCGATTCCTCATCTCTC